TCGAGATCTCCAGCAGCCAGGAGCGAGAGGAGGAATCCCTGGCCCCCATGGGTGCTGCCATCCCCAGCAGAGTACTAAGGCGGGGCTGCACAGCCCTGATATGTGGGGGCAGCTGGGCAATGAGCCCATGCAAAGACATGAAGGCTGGATCTGGGGGTGCATGTCCCAGCCCCACCGCTGGGCGCCTGCAGGCAGTGGAGCTGGGGTGTCTGGGACCGGCCTGCTCAGGTACCACTCGCTGGGGGCTGCAGACACCAAGGCTCGGGGGGGCAAAGGGAACCCTCCTGGCTCCATGTCTACTGTCAGCCTCTGCCACTGTGTCTAGACAGGGAAGCAAAGGAGCCTTTCAGTCCTCGCCCTGCAGCCCAGAAGGGCATCTTAGTAGCTATAGCTGGGACTGTAACTAAAACTATAACTTTCCCTCCTGACCCTGGGCTTTAGCTACAGTTATAGTTATAGTTATGATTGCTAAAGCCCTGGGGGTCAGGAGAGAGAGCTATACTAATACAGTTATAGTTGGAACAATAACTATAATTATTACTGTAGCTATAACTATAGTTATACCTATAAGTAACTATAACTATAGCTAAAGCCCTGGGTCAGGAGGGAAAGCTACAGTTATAGTTATAGCTTTCCCTCCCGCCCAGGGCTTTAACAACTACACAACTATAGCTATAACTGTAACTATAGCTAGAGTCTTGGGTCAGGAGGGGAAGCTATAGCTATAGGTAGGGATCTTGTACCATCTACTTTTCCCAGAGCCTGACGAAGGGACTTTGATCCTGAAAGCTTGCAGAAAAGGACAATGTTCTTGCGATTTCCCAGTTGGTCTAACAAAAGCGATCATTTTTGGAACCAAGAGTTCTAGTTTTTTGTACAGCTACAGTTCTCTACTTATAGACCTATAGCTATAGTCAAAGCCTGGGGCAGGAGAGAAAGGACGCTATAGCCACGGCTCTAGTTATATAGCGATAGTTCTAGCTATGGCTGCTGCTGCAGTTGTAGTTCCAGGTCTAGCTATAGTTGTAGTTGTAATTGTAATTCTAGCTGTAGTTCTAGCTATAGCTATAGCTAGCCCTGTAACTACAGCCACAGCTAGAACAAGAACCAGGTCTAGGACTGCTGGAGAAAGCGAGCGAGCG